CACCACGAGGTAGTCGGGGTTCATATTTATCACTTCACAGCTGCGCACCTATGATCGATCCTTATCCAAGATGGCCGCCGGCGTACACCGCGAACAGGCGGGAAACAAGCGCAAGCCCACCTCCTTCGACGTAGCGGGTCCGTCAATCTTTTAAATCCAGCTTATTTGTAATTGGAACACTCTTTTTTTTATTAACATATTCTAATCTTTTTTATTGTAATCAAAACGAAACGAACGTGCTTACGCGCAGACGGTTTGCGTTATACTAAAGTTTTAAAAACACTCATAATAGGTAGGTACGTATTCAGAACTTGAAAACCATAAAACATATCTCCCCCATTATTAGTTTATGGTTTGCGACTGTTGCAAGGCTATTATACTGTTATTTTGTGTCTGTTTGTTTTTTATTGTGCGCGGTTGTAGTCCGAACAAATTTGGGTTCCCGTGAATACAATATGATGTTTTTATTGTGCAATGTAATTTACCTGGATGCCTTTAATGGCACTATTTTTATTTAATAAAAACTTTGAGTTTATTAAATATAAATTATTGTAAGTACTTTTATTTTGTAATCTTATTTATTAAGTGTCAATGACAAAATATAAAACGTTAAAATTATTATACATACGTATACTTACTTACGATAAAAGGTAACTGATCCTATTAATTAGATATTTATATTTCTTTTTTCATTTCTATGAAGAATATTTCAAAATCATGTAGGTAGCCTACTGGCATAAATTGCGAAAAAAAAAATCGGTCGTGCATGACTATAATAGGTTCTTTATAGACATGATTATTTTTAAATAGGTATTATTGTGAATTTTGTATTTAAAGATACTAAATTATTAATGTTGAAAGTTTTGAAATTTTTAAGAAGATTATTAACAAAAATATTATAGTAGAGTAACCTTCTATACAACGCGCCGCACCATGGGCGCCGTACTTAATTCTGAACACTGAGATTTTACATTCAAATTTGACGAGTGTTTAACAGACTTTAAATAATATACCTACGCAATTCATCTTTTTTACAAACAAATTTCGACGTTATCTTTTTCCATTGTGGGCTAATATTGATAGATTTAATAACAATGTCTTTCTTACTTTAATAAAACATTTACATCCAACATTTAGTTTGTTAGGTATATTTAAAAAAAATGTTTCGTCGCTGATTTTTTAATAATATCAATTTCAGCATACTTCACTATAAATGACTTGTCGGGCAGTGTGGTGTCTACATAAAGCGCTTAGCGATTACAAGGAACAAAAGTGGTAAATTCCGATACTGCTGAGGTCAAACATTTGTATAGCTCTCATTTTACAAAATTTTTGGATAATATATAGAATTATTGGAATATGAATAGTTATCATATTCCAATCATTAATTAATTTGTTATCAACATATACCTTTAATTTTCATATGTTAGCTCCATGAACCTTTTGAAAAAATTACTGTTTTTTGCTTTAATTTTTTTTACTTCTTTTTATACTGAAAAGTGACTTAATTATATTTTCTCTCTTAAAGAAATTACAAAGTTACCCAAATTTCAATGACAATTTATGTTTATATATATTTTTTTATATGAATTACAAATGTGTTACTTTGTTGGAGTTAAGAGCTGACTTAATCGACGTTATAATAATCGTAGTTATTTAAAAGTAATAAATGATTATTTATCACCTTATCCCGCATTAACACGCTACCTCCTATAACTTAAACAGGCTTTGTGATCATTTCATTTTAGTATAATTATTCTAGTTAGGTGTGGGTACTCTTAATAAGTTTGTTAACGATTTAAACTAGAAACTGATAGACTTAATTATTGGGCTCGATGTGTAAAAAGGATTTCATCAAACATTTTGTAAGTTACCAAGTAGGTGGTGATTACTATACCTCATTTCCTTTGATAAGGGCCCATTTAAGCTCTCAGGCCCTGAAGCGAAATTAAGTCGCCAATTTCGGAACAGGTTTAGAAATTACAGGGGCCAGGCCATGGTATAAGTTTAGACGAAGCTCTTCAAGCGTAAAGGAAAAATAAATTTCTGTTATGGTACTGTGCTGGTAGTAATAAAAAAAATATGTGATTCTCGTCACGTTGGAGAATGGTTTACAGGAAAAAAATTGTTTGTAAACTTCTAGATCGTAATAGATTACTTTTTTAGTTTATATTTTGAAGCCCATGCAGATTGTGTTTAATAAAAGTTAGTAGAATAATATAAAACTGAAAAAAATAACATTCGTTCCTATCCTATATAATTGTTGCAGGTTAAATGTGGCATTTGGATAGCAATAAAAAGTATGGAATATAAAATAAGTCATATTTGTTTTTGAAACCAAAAATGTCAAACATAATTTTTTCACAAAGTTATTTTTTGTGAAAAAATCTTGTTCTATTTTCAATTTTCGTAATTATCTATGGCCGCATTGTTAAGAGATACTGAGTGGTATCTCTAAGCAATTTATTCTGCTTGACAATTTAATTTTAAAAGAAGATAAATGTCAATAAAAGCTGCTTAAATAAAATTATTGTTCAATTACCTCACAGCGCATTATTAGAGTCGATGAAAGAAAATATAATCATAATCACAAGCAAGAGTAGGTAATGCATGGAGAATTGGTTATTACAGAAATACAAGACATGAGTTTATTAAGGTTTTGCTATGAATACTAACTGGTTAACTCAGATTGATAGTATGTTATTAAGCAACGGAATATTCAAATCAATACTTAACTGATATCTAGTTTGTTTTACCTATATAGTATGTATATATATTTTTTATTATATTAAATAACCATACTATTGACTTACCCCGAAGAGATATTGATACTTTCTTTCGTTATAGAGAAACTGTATAAAATCACTTCATAACAGAGACCCTATATTGAGCGATTTTATTATACATAAAATGGTTTAGATTAGTGATTTTCAATGATTTCATTTGTGTCTCTATTACAGTGTTTAATCGCGTAAAGCTTCCTTTTCTCTTCAATTATATGTGCACTATTAGGTAAAAAAGAGACATTCTTAAAAAAAAAGTTATGCTATTTTAATTCTTCTAATTTTAACGTTGAGTTTTTACTATATTTTTCAGATTCATATCATTTTTTTAAGCGCACTCTTAAGCAAAAACGAAATACCTAATAATTCTTTGTAAATTTCCTTATTATTGCACATATTACTTTTTCAAAATTTATCATTGAGTTTATATTGTATTTTCCAGCTTTATTAATATATTTAATACATTTCAACCTTCTTTGGATACCTATTCCAATTCCTACTGTCTAATTTAACTTTTTTATTTGCGGTAAATATACGAGTTTTAATTTTCCACCTGAATTTTATTTTTATTCGAAAAATTTCAAAATTTATACTGTTTTTAAGAGTTCAACCTCCATAATTTTTCCATTCATATTTTCTTAAGCATAGCTAATTTATTTTTTATAAGCGGTCAGTGATCAAATGAGTCACGTTTGTCGAACCACCGCGAGCTGCGGTCAAGCCCGAACTCTTTAACAGGCTACAGCCATAGCGTCCTTGTATTGTTTCGCAGGCCGTGTTGCGTGAACCCAGAGTGAAATATGGCTGACAGAGCGACTACTTTATTTTGTTTTATTTTTTAAAGCTTGTGTTACTTAATTTTATCAAGTTGCATGAATTATGAGAGGCGGGACCACACGCGTTGCGTTAATTACGCATTAGTGAGAATAGAAGGGATGATAAAGGATCAGCTTAGCGTAAAAACATTTTATTAAAAAACTAACAGGAGGCTCGGACAACGAGCGAACATTTTCTTTTACAACCGTAAATGGAATTCTGATAAGATTTAACATGTAAACTTAATGTTAACCAATTTCCTTTCAGATCTTATTAGAATTTATAATTTAATGCTATTATGAACGTTATGTACAAATTTTTAATGCCTAAATTTTTGTAAATTAGTCGGTCTATCTAAACATATCATCGAAAAAAGTATTAGGTGGTCATTTCTTGGTGACCGCCAGTGGCAACTGGCAAGTTAATAATAATGCGCCCAAACTAGACCGGGCCATTGAACCCGACGGACGCGGGCGCAAGCTCCCGTCATACCGAAGAGCGCTAAAATGCCGCATTTTGAAGCGGACACGCAGCCGCTGTTGCGAAACCGCATGCTGTAGCGCGACTTTGTGTAACTATCTAGATATTTTTAATAACAGCTTGATGTCATTTTTAAGTCGAAATGCCGTGCGATTTTGTTTTTTTTTTACAACATAATAATATTTTGTACTATTAGAGTGTTTGCGCTCGAATAAAATAATAAAATAGTTTATAATACCTACTTAGTTTCAAAATAAAATATATTTATAACTGCACTCAAGATAAGCAAGTCCAATGCCTCTGCTCTGTGTACGTTTTATAAAGTACCTATCTCTTTACTTCATAAAACTTACACTAAAATAAGACTTTTCTTTTTGAGATAAAAATAATATAAGTATCAAAACATAATTAATTTAGTGGTGTTTTAAATACTTTATTGGCATATTTATGTGTGATATATTTTTTTAGTGTTAACTATATCGAATGAAAGATACTTTATAAAAAATATATTATATTATATAATTTTTATTTTTGTGATAGAAAGTAAAAATATCAAATCTGAGATTTAGTGGGGTTTTCAGTTATTTAATTAACATAAGTGTGACAATTCTTTCGGTGCTTTCTCTTATAAATTTTTAAAACATTTACGATTATTTAAAGACTACAATAAATTAAAAGATAACACTTAAATATGTCTACTCTAATAAGATGTTAACGAGAGAGGGTCGTTCGTTTTACGAGCGTTTTATTTACACAAGCTATCGGCCGTAACCGCTTCTGATTTTCTTATTGGACGACTTGTTGGGTCGTATGGAAAACGTAAGGGCGGCATTTTAGAGCCAACGTGCCTTAGCATAGAATGCTATGCGCCGGTGCTTTTTCTTAAAATGATAAGATACTTTATTTTTTTTAAATTAATTTGTACCGATTTTTTTTTTATCCATTTCACGTTATAATTCAAACTAAGTTTAGTGCTTTTTCTGCCGTCATAGTTTGATATAAAAAACATAAAATAAATGATAAAATGAGTAGTTATGTGAAAACGTAAGATCACTGACCTGCTATGGCCATCCAAGGATAGAACGTGTGGTTGGTGGGTTGATGTTGTACTGGTTGTGCAGCAGCTGCGGCCGCTCCGGGTAACGCGCACTGGTTTCCCCAGGGTAGAGCTCTTCCAGGACTCGAAGATTCGCTGTACCGTGCTTCAGGCGTGCACGCTGCCGGCCTCACCAGTGCCCCGAGACCAGACCCCCATTCTTTCCCACCATAACCATTCTGTTGCTCGCCACCGGCTTTTGAGCAATCCGCCTTCGCGTACTGCTGTTCACCTGCATACAATTTGCATGCAGCAGCTACTGAGGCGTCGTAGGGAGAGTCTTGCGGCCTCGGCTGGTGTAACGCATGAGGTTGGGCATACGTCAACCCTAATGGAAAACCTCGGTACTGATCACCGCCACCGCCGCCCTGGTGAACCCCATGGGCCCCATAGAAACCACCTTGCTCAAAGTAGGAGTTCATTCTGACCAGTCACCGGCACTAACGTCACAAGTTTCAGAAGCACTTATGTCATTGCGCCCCCACGCGCTCTGATAACGCGACCTCCGCCAATGTCACACCAAACCAGACGATTTAAATATAATTTTATTAATTTTATTGCCTCTTAAACGTCACTCGAGCGTCATAATGGGCTTCGTCGGCGATAAAGGCCAGTCGACGTGTGTTTACTTTTTACGATTATTTTACGAGTCGGGATGCGGGTTTACGACTTTTACAGCGTTTAGGCGCCGGGTCGTCTCTTGTGATTTTTGTTGTCGCGATTTGTACCGCGAGCGAAGTTTGCCGCGCTGTATGGAGCGGGTAGAACTGTGTGCGACCGGCGCGGCCCGACTCACGCTGTCTACTGAGTACTTACTACTGACACGCGCGCCGCCCCGCGCGCTGCCTGCGATCGCAACGCGGCCGATTGTTCCGTCCCCTTTTCGCTAATGACTATAAATATTATCAGTTACGCTCTCTTTTACTTTTCTTATCACAGCTACCTGAACACGTGGTACGGTGTATTACATCGTAACGACGCCGAGATCAATTCCTATCAGCTTAATAGTTTATAAACACTATAATCTTCATCGAGTGTAAAAATAGTAAAAGAAATCTGAACGCAAGTGTACAACAATGTTCGTAATCTTTTACTTGACGCAACTTGAATAGCGCTCAACAAGAAAAAAAAGGGTCAACAAAAGGCCAATAATGATTTTACTACTGAAAAGTTAAGCCACAAAGCCGTAAACTCATAAACGTACAATTAGTAAAACGGGCGAGTAAAGAAAAGATTTTACAACCACTTCTCGAGCGGGCCACAATGAGCGCGCAATATCGTAACAAGGTGCTGAATAGAGTGAGAAGTCGTAAAGATGATTATTATTTCTTCTACTACCTGTTTTTACGAGTGATGTCATCGTCGCACTCTCGCTTGCGGTAGAGCCGGGCGTGCGAGCGAGGCGGGGCACGGTTCGTCGAAATGTCATTCGACAGACGGTGCGATGGAATATATAGTTGTCTTTATTTAGCGCCGTGTGGCGCGTGCAGTGGAAGCGCACTATCGGAGGGTAAACAATAGCGCATTATCGCAAGAGCTCAGTTGGCGCGTTCAAATGAAGTCATCAAACGAATGAATGGCCGTGGTAGAGCGGCCTACCAAGAGACACGCTCGCATTTTTATTGCAGTTACCTCTTTATACAAATATTTGCCTTTAAAAAGAACCGGTTATGCACCTTCAATATATTTCGTTTTTAAATACGCACGATTTATAATTGGTCAATTTAGAACCGTAGAAATGCCATCGCGTCTTAGATAAAGTCTTTTTCGAAGGTTTTATAGGTGATTAGCTCAAATAGATGGCGTTTGAGTCGCCAAAGGCAAAAAGTAAGTAATTTGTAAAGATGGTGTCATTAAATGGACTCGTAACAAAAAATGTAATTGCATTTAATTGGCGCAGGGAACAGAAAAATGTGCATTCGTTGTGTTAATCGGAAAATTGTGGTCTTCCTGCAAATACTGCCAACGAGATGCATTAAAACATAAATCCGTATAACCTCAGATACTTTCAACAAGGAGTGTTAATTATAGCTTGAAAATTCATGGAAATACTCAAAATTGCATTTAATCAAAATTTAAGTGTACTTAATAAAAAAAATAGATTTTCCGAACTCTGAAGTACTGGAATTTTCACTGTCATATATTATAAGTAACATCGTAGTGTAGTGTCTAAATTGATGCCTATTATGTAATGCACCACTAGCTTAAGTATACACCTAAGTATCTTCTATGTCACACCGAGGAAATCTACAATAATTTAAAGACTAATGTAATGGTAGGTATTCAGGAAAAGAGTAATCGACTATTGAATAGTATCCCTAATAGGAATAATGAAACTCCTTTTTAAATAAATCTTTATAGGAAAATATAACAAACTTTGAAGTAAGCCAAGCGAATCGTGGATTTGCTAAATTTATTGAAAATTTACAATTATTGCCCCGTCACGAGCTATTTAAGAAAGAGTAAGAGTTAAATATTAAAATATAATTCGATATTTTTGACTACTAATTATTTGATAAGTTAGTACAAATATTTATAAAGTGTTCTAAGCGTCTTTACGTTCTAAATAGTTTTAGTATTTTTTTTTAACAAAATTGTGTTAGAAATAATTATTTTATAATCTAATTTGTATGTTTTACATTTTACTGGTGACTTTATTCGCTTGGATTGAGTACGTGTTATTGATATATTCGGAAAAAGTAGGCTATGTAGGGAACATAAAAGGCGTCATCCTATCTATTATAATATTATAAAGGGGAAAGATTTCACTGTTTGTATGCATCGAATATATATCGTACGCGGGTGACAGGGTAATAATTTACTCAGGCGAAGTCGTGGGAAAACAGCTAATATACTAAAAGAGTCAACAATTTAATCTTGAAAGCGTAACAAATAGACAAAATAAGTTTTATATTTTTAATAGTACAATAATGGAAAAATTTGTGATTTAACTGCAAAAGTCTAAAATCTGTATATGTAGAGTCCTCCACCTCATCTGTTTTGTGCTCTATATACATGACAACATTCAGTCACTTGTTCTTAATACAAAATGCTTAAAAAATCCACTTGGTCCCTGGCACCCTGAGATGGGAACCCGATTGCGGAAGGTCGTGGGTTCGATTCCCATCTCAGGGTGCCAGGGACCAAGTGGATTTTTTAAGCATTTTGTATTAAGAATAATTTTCAGTACGGCTTTGTGAATGCAAAATTAATCAAAATATAATAATTCAATCACTTAGTGTCAGTTACTTATTTTATGAAACATAAAGTTGTCAGCTCATAGAAAAATAATTTATAAAATTGACACGTTCCAGGTACCCGAAATGGGATTTTAATTTACAATCTATCACAATCCGGGCTCTACCATTTCGAAGGTTTCTATAAGATCAATGTCATCAACTAAAGTTAAATATAACATCATGACCATCATTGGTTTCTTATCGTTCCCACTGTGGGGGCACCACGACTTTTTTATGGATGGAATCTATCGAACAGGGAGAATGGGCAATACAGGCCAAGTGTGGATTATTGAGTGTTAACGTCTGCAGATGCAGCAGTGGCCAACGGCTTAACGAACCATCAAAATCACGAAGGAACTCGAGATAAAAAAAAAATTGGCCACCCATCCTATGAACATAAGGCACAATTTTCTATATCCTATTACGATCTGGTGATGGTTTCAAGTTTTGATTTCGCATATGCACACCCTAATTTTGTGGACGACGAATTTGAACGATGACGACGAACATATAATAATTTGTAGTCTATAGGCTCTATAGGCCCTTATGTCTATACATGGCCAAGTTTTATAAACCAATCTATGATTTCAGTAATAATACATATCTTATAGCGAGAATTGTCATAAGAGTTCAAATTAGAATCCCAGGAGACTTAATCATCAGTCAAAATAGAGACTTAAATTCTATATTATAGTATGTAGGTGGTTGTGGGAGTTTCATGATTTCCAACTTCCATTATATATCTAAATGAATAAATAATAACACTTAGTATTAATGTGTCTCTTATTTGGGTAAGCTCTAAATCATTTCAGCACCCATATTGGTTTTTGTGTCTTAATAAGTAATACCTTTTGAGTTTTATTAGGGTTCAACGATAATTTTAATAAAATGTCAAGAAAAAACGGTGTTCAGAATTAAATTTTCCGTTAAACTTCATTATTATTGCAAAGATACATTAAATAATATGTAAGGCTCATATAAAACTGTTAAATGTTTTCACTCAGTAATAAGTTTATTATATTAAGAGTAGAGTTCTCAGTTGCTGAAATTAAGCTTAATGTGGTAACCAAACAGTAAATTGTACCTACCTCTCAGCTTAATTATATCACACCGATGATGATTCCTGAATATAATAAATAAGTAATACAAAACAACATACATACGTTATTCTTAATGAAAATTACTTTTTCAATACAGTTGCTCATAAAGCGCTATTTTTTTAATCCATTGTAAACAAAAGTGAGTCTTTAAACACGTGTTAAATAAAAATGTACTGAAATCCTTTACTGCACACATGCTTAAAAGTATTTTTTTATTTTTAAATTGATGAAAATATGTCAAACTTTAGAGGCAAAAGTATTTCAAGGAGCCTAGAATATTTTCAAATAAAAATGTATGACACGAAAACACGTTCAAATATCACGTTTAATTTTAACAAATAATTTTTACCTTTAATACATACTTAGTTTTATTAACCTATATATTTGTTTTATTTCCTCGCAAAAAGCATTGAAAAATGTTGTAAGAAACTTGAGCGTAAAAGGTTTTTCGAATTCGTGCCAACGAAAACCCACGCTAAGATCGTGTTTTCAATTTGGCCCTTATTCGTAAAACCTTACTTTCCGCACTCGTATCTTAAATAACTATTAAAAAGTCCACTCGGTCCTTGGTCTATTTTTTTAATTTTTTAAATAAGAATATTATTCAGTATAGCATTATGAATGCGGAATTGATCTAATTTCATAATTAGACCATATAATAATTTGTAAAAGTATTTCTTTCGGGTATTTAGGTGGATTGCCTAAACATTGATTAAAATACGCTCTGTAGTAGCGAAAATGTAACAAGTGCTTAAAAGATTCGTCAATCCTGTTTAGTTCTGGGTAGCTTAGTGGTTAGAGCAGTCGTCTGGATTGCTGAAGGTCGTGGGTGCGAATCCCATCTCAGGGTGCCAAAGACCAAGTGGGATTTTAAGCATTTTTCAGTATAGAATTGTGAAAGCGATATTGATCAAATATAATAACATTTACGTTGTTTAAATTCCAAAGTTTAAATTCCAAAGGTCCTTTAAAAACACTGAAATCCATGAGTACCTAAGCATGAACACAGTGAAGGAAGAATTGACAACTTTTCAATCGAATACAAGTCTAGATTGGAAAACCACCCCAATCCTCTGGCTGTAGGTACAACATATTAAAGCGGCATCACATTTTGGAATAAGCTGAGTAATACTTAGAGATGGGAAATAGCTCTACTTAACATTAATGCCACACCACCTAAGTTACTAGAAACTGATCGCATTTTCAAGCAGAACAAAAACAAATCCAAAGCAGTAAAGTCTCAGACGTAAACAACATAAAAAAGTTTATTGTGTAAGGCATTTTTCATTAAAAAATATTTCCAGTATAGTATTGTGAATTTTGTCCCTGGTACTCTGGCATCATGGGTTCGAATCCCATCTCAGAGTACAAGGAAAATCTTAAACCTGGTGGATAACTCCACTAAGGTATCAAATAAACTCAAACGAAAAAAAAAATAGAAACAGAACAAAACAAAAGAAATGAAAT